TTTTGTAGGTCTTCCCTCAGCTCTGCTTTTAATCTTCATTTCAAACTATTTTTCTCTCAGGTTACGCTACCAGTTTATCTCAACTTCACTCGTGCTGATCTCATCTTCACTGTTGACTTTGAAATAGCCACCAAAGAAGACCCTCGTAGCTTCTATGAACGTGGTGTTGCAGTCCTCTGCACTGAGTAAAGATGATAATTTTGTAACTGGTAAATAGTAAAAGTTACTGTCTTAAGTGTGCTTCACTCAAGATTGGTTAGATTATCAGATGGATATGTGTAAAGTTGATTTGCTTAGAAGCGTGTGTATTGGGAAAGTGATGCAACTTTGATGGTTTGAAGGACAGATGACTGTTTTTAGGTGGTTCTATTTACGTGGTAATCGATGAATTATATTACGTGAAATAAAGTCTGTAGCATGACTGATTACTCTTTTATTTCTAAAAGCTCTGCTCTTGCTGCCTTGCTATAGGGCATGACCTTCATGCTTCCAATTTTCAGGTGATTGAGTAGGTTAATTCCACTACTGAGAAAACAATTTTACCATTTGTGGAACTTATTTGAAAAGTTAAAGCAGTGCAACTCAAATTTATGAAACAGCACATTTTGTGGAGCAAATTTAAGAAAGCTTGCTCAAGTTCAAAGGAAAGGAGAAGAACAGTAGTCTTTAAATTAGTGGAGCAAAGAACTGCATATATGGAACATATGAGATGACATAGAACAGATACAAACCACCTTTCATTTTTTAAAGCCAATTCTATATATAGAACAAGACTTCATCACCATTCCCCTCGTGTCTGTGTTGGTATTTATTTTTGTTTGTTTTGTTTTCTTTCCATTTAATACTAAATTGCCTATCAAGTTAACTTATTTCAGTCTACTGAATGCAGGATATCTCTAAATATCACATAAAGGAACCAACATTGCCAGTGTAGATATTAGTTTCTCAATCTTGCTACATAAATTACCTTGATCTGTCTTATTGTATACACCAGGACAATGATTTTTAGTCTTAATTAAATGAATATTAATGTTTATATTTTGACGCTTCAATCTGCCCATCTACCTTTTTTTACACTATTCACTGGCACTTTTTTTTTTAAATACTGGCTCTTAAGCTATGTTTACTGGTTGGCTGCTCCTACCTTGACACGTGTTTTTTGTTCCAGACATTTATGAGTAACTTATGCATATGCACTGCCCTAACTGGTACACATGATCCTCATGGACAAATGCTGGGGAAGCCGTCTTCAACTCATTTCTGGCAAGAGGCTGTTTCACAATATTACTTTTGAATGCCATGTGAATTCTTCATGCCATATAGCTTGCTACAGACTTCCAAATACCTGGCTCATTTCATGAAGATATTTGGACTGTAGGACTGCTCCTTTTGGTATGCTGAAATGGAACATTATTTTTTTTCTGTGGCAGGTGATAACTCAGATGAATCTGTATACTTGGCATTTTGGGAATATCTAAACTGGCTGTTAGCAGCCTTAAGGCTGCAGGCCAGATTTGACCTGGTTCAGGTCAGAGATGGAAGGGTGCTAAAACCAGACATTGCTCTTTTGTCACCATGGTGGCATAGGGAAAGCAGCTGCTGCTGAAGCCCCATGTCTGCAGACCATAGGTTGCTGACCCCTGCTTTGAACTAGACATAGAGAAACATAAAGCTTTGAGCTAATTTAATGTAGTTGTATCAATTCAGTGAGGAGTTGCGTTTATAGTGACACAGAGGTGTGCAAGAGTATCCTGCACACTGAGGAAAACACTCAGTGGTGCCCAACCTTCCAGGTGAGTGGTATGGGGACAGTCTGAGGGTACAACCTCGCATATCTGATCCAATCTGTAGGGCTCCCCCACAGGTCCAGAAATTTAGTAGCATTAGTCCCCCGTTGCCACCATTCCCCTGCCACCAAATTCCTGGACCTTTAGAAGCCCCTTACACTAACTGTACTTGTTTGTATTTGAATTTGGTGTTGAGATGCATGGCAAATATTAGTCATCCAGTCAGACTTTGCTGTGTCCCATTGGAAGTGCCCTATTCCAGTGGGGGCCAACCTTTTTGGCAGATATGCTACAAATTGGCCACCCCTTCTGTAGTCAGTTTTACAAATATATAAAGTTGAAATTACTATTTTTTCTCTGAGCAATTCTTCCACAGCAGTAGGTGTCGAAACAACATCTGTATTATAAACCCATTTTGTCTAAAAATTTCTGATCCACTACTCGACTCTGAAGCACTGCCTCCATTGTAAATGCTGCAAGGATGTGTTAATGATGGACCAAATGACACTGTGGGATCTCTTCTAACATCCATACTTATACTTGGCATAAAACATTCCAACTTAAACATTTTTTCTCCTGTTGTAACTGCACTAAAAATAACTTTTTAAGTCTTCAAAAGGGGGAAATATTCCACTATCACTTCTCTACACACACAAATGAGAACTCATCATTTTATTACTCTGACAAGTGACCCAAATGTCAGTAGAAAAGAACGGACCCATCAGTGAACACAGTCTGGAGTCTGTGCCCCTGTGTCTCCAGTGGTCCTTACTATCTAAAACCAGTCCTACCAGCTTCCTTGTCATGTGGTCAAGGAATACTCTTCATCTTTTCCTCTAGGAAGCACACTTTTGATTCTTGATACTTGTGTGACTACTTCCAGTGTTGCAGACTTGCTGATAGTATCAAACTGTCTTGTGTAAAGACAGAGAAAGAGGAAAGGCTTCAAGAAACTAAACTTGTAGATGGCTTCTACTGTACCAGTGGACAAACTAGTCCTGAGGAACTGAAAAATGCTATCCCAAGTCTCAATATGGCTGAATACAGATCAGGTCTAAATAAGTTTTAGTTGTATATGTGGGTGAACTATGCAGTAACTTTATAGATTCTGCAACTGCACGAGGTGTTTGAGTCAACTCTTCAGCAATCCTCATTTCTTGCTGTGATCCTATATACCAGCTGTTTACAGACTAATTGGTATTGGCACCGAGACCAGATTTGTTTCACTGACCCCTTCAGTAAAGAAGGTTCTGCAGTGGGGAGAAATTTTTTTTAAAAAGCAATTAGCAGGAACAGGGGTCTGGCTTTCTAGAAATGGACAAAGGCTTTTAACTAGGGGTTGTTCCATACATGGACTCCAGTAGCACTTTTTCCTGTGATGAGCATAATATTATACCTTGTACCACTGACAACTGGACCTTTCAGCCTGCTAAAGTTTAAATATAGTATGTGATGTATTCATACAGAAAACTTAATGATGTGGGCTGATGTCCTCTTACAGTATGAATTAACAAGTGTCAAATTCCTGGATGGGGACTGTAGGTCATAACAGACTTCAGAACATTCTTTATGCGTGTGTGCACTTTCTCCTTTAACTTTTATTTTTAATTGGATTCACTAGTCAGTAACAAATGTAACATTTCTAAGATGCATCTAGTCTTCTAAGGCATGCATGAAGCAAGGTACCTTGTCTTCCGTTCACAGTACTCCCTTCTCTTTGACTCAGAGGAAATGAAGACACTTGTCTGCTTGGGGGTGTGCATGTGCAGGGCATACAACCCAGGGCACAGCATTCCCAACCATTGGGGGTCTCTTTGGTGTGATAATTTTAAAAGTATGTACTTATCTTCATTTTAAGATGGGTGGTTCAAGTGACCTTAACTTTCCTCCCAAATGTGCTCTGGGGAGGAACATGGGGACTTTAGTTCTTCCATAAGCTCTTCATCCTGTTAATATTACACAAAAGGGTTTAAATTTAGTCATTTTGGCTGCTTGCGGATGTTAAAAATCAGAACAGCTTTGACTAGTTGGGGGGAAAAAAATAATTTTCTAGCACTTAGCGTTAGCTCTCTCATTCAACATATAAAAATTCAATTACAGTTATGCTTTTATATAAACATGACCCTAGGCTTCAGCATTTGCCTTTGATGCTGAACCAGGTAAGCAAGAGGTAGCAAAAGAAGATCTCGTGGTTGATGCTGCAGAAGTCAATCCGAGGGTTTTAGAATCTCTAGGCCTGGGTTTTAGGGCATTATTTGCCAATTTCTGCGTTATCCCCTCCCAGTCAGACTTAGTGGTTGTTTTGTGTTTGTTTGTTGTTTTTTTTTTAAACAAAACACACAAACCTACATATACACAACAGATGAACTTTACTGCTTTTGCTAAATTAAAAGTGTGCTTATGTACTGGGAGGGCAAGTTTTAGACATGGAAACAAAAGCAAAGTTCAGAGTCCTCTGCCTGGCATCAATAAGAAATATCTTCTACCCTTTAACTTCAAAGTCTTTATGCTAATGCCAAAAATCCAAACATGTGAAGTAGCTGACTTAATCATACTGGCACTGACTATAGTAGTTCCAAGAGATCCACAAATTAATCAGTTGTCCTTTTTGCTTATCTGATGGGCTGCCCAACACACTGAAGAACTTCGTTGTAAGGGGATTAGATTATCTAGCTCCAAGGATGGTATTCTATTACAGATAAAGCAGAAGGTTGGCAGCACTAGAAAGCTAGAATTGATGCCCTTTTTCTCTTAGCCAGCAGCTATGTAGCAAAGAGAAAAATCAGTTTGTCCAATAAAAAAAAAAAACTTAAAGAACTGTTACCTGTTAATGTGTTGTTATACGACTCATGCAGCAAGTAATTTACTCTTGAACATCACTTAAAGGCTTTTTCCATAGCACTCAGTATTTTATTAGTGCCCCCCCCCCAAAAAAAAAAAAAAATAAAAGTGTGGGGTATCAAATTTAGAGCTCACAGGGCTTGGGCCTATCACCTACATCTGGGGCATGGAGCTGTGTTTAACCCTAGCCTAGAAGGAGCCCCATGGGCTAGATGTGGCTCTGGCTAAGTTTAAACACCCTGCTTTACAGGATGCGAGTTTTTGCTGAATCTGCAAGTAAATAGTCAAGATGAGAACAAAGTAACAGGATGCAGTGATCACACTGGAAATGGAGAAGATGGAGATATAAAATAAAAGACAAGATTTGATAAGTAATTCTGCACTCATTTATTATACATCCTTAACTGTTTGTTTAAACCAAAACAGTAATTTGAACAGGGTGCACTATAGTTGAGGTGCAGCTGCCACAGGGTATAGGCCAAACCAGATTAGCTTTAACCTACAGTAACTCAAATATCAATTAGAGTGTAGAGGCAGCAGCATGTGCTGAGCTTTGCGTTAACTGCCCAAGTATTGCCCAGCTCCTTCCATGGTTAGCTCGGGTATTTCCACACAGCGCAGCTAAAGGGGTGACTGCACTTTTTGCTCTTCCACCACAGCATACTCCTAGTCCTATTAAAACTGAATTTGTTCACTGTAGCTTAAACTTGGACAGAGAAAGTGTTTTGGTGATTTCCAGATCATAATTAGTCTGTCTGGTACTTTAGGTTAGGTCATACGCAGTTTCTTTCTTCGTAGTTTTTCACTGCTGCCCTCTAATATTGGAAGCTCTTGCTTTCTCTTGATTGCCTGTTCACACACTGTATGGACTCTATCAGATGCCACTAGTATGGTTTGCGGTGTCATGGTGACTGGGCTTTTTACAAGACCAGCATATGTTGAAGGATCAGGCCTTGTGAGTAATGAATGGTCAGGCAACAGGAATGTTGAAGCAATTGCTCCAGTGGTTCTGAATTGTTCAGTTGATCCTACAAGTCGTACTGGAAGATCCTTCTCTTTCCCAAGAGTTTCCACTGATGTTTTACAGTCATTTTCTGTTTCCATGTAAACATCACTGTGGGTTTCTTTTATTGGACCACCCCAATTTGAAGATGTATGGAGGGATACATTATCTTCCGAAGGGTCAATACCTTTCAAAGCCATCACCTCTGGTATATGGTAGGCCACAGCTCTGCTGAAGTTAACAGCATTAAGAGAATTCAAGCTACAGTCTGAATGACTTGATGCATCTTCTGAATCACCATCATAAGGATCTAAAAACTGAAAGCAGTCAAAGTAGCTCAAAGGAATGCAGATGCTATAGTACTGGTATTTTTTGCATTTATCTTCACAGAAATGCCATGTACAGTTTATCAGCAATCTATTTCTCCCCCATAGAGAATTACTAAGGTCACTAAGGAAATGTAATTTGTAGAAGCATTTTGACTCAACGCACACTTTTATGTATTCCATATTTTAGGGAAATTAAAACACAACTACCTTATAACAAAGTATCAGAAGTACACAACCCTACCTGGAGTTTTGTACCCTTTGTTTTCTTGGAGAATCCTTTAGGAAGTAAGCCAGGCAGATCCTATTTAAAAAAAGCATTTCCATCAAAAATGTGAACTTAAAAATCTCCTCATTCAAGTAATTGGCAATTGTCTTTGAGAACTCACAGGGGAAGTCCCAAAGAAAAGTTAATGTATGTTTACAAAAGAGCAGGACCCAAGGAATGATAAAACAGCCTGACAGATTCTGGAACTAGTCTAGAAAAACAGGAGGAAAATAAAAGTCTTCCCACATGTAAAAAAAACTTTTATTTTTAATATAAAGAACATTAAGCATTTGTTCTCCCTCTAGAGGGGGAAGGCCAAGATGACAAGCACTTTATGCAGCGAAGATGATTTACATTGCTTTGTCAGGGATGAAAGGGAGTCCTAACTGTAAGGGTAATGATATTCACCTGCACCTCTACCAACATCACCTGCTTACAGCGTCCCTTTACGGTCTACATTGGACAGACAAAAGAATGAAGGGACAGCTATCTGACATCAAGCCCAAAAATGCAGAAGCCTGTGGCAAAACATTAACTTTCCTGGACATTTCATTGCTGGCTTCAGTAGCTGTTCTGAAACCATGGATTTTTAAAAGCTGACTCCAATGTCAAATTGCAGAACGAGAAGCCAGCCACAGACTGGACAGTGTTAAGTATGGTCTAAACAGGGACTATAGATTCTTATACCATTACCTGGATTGGCTGTTGTGACCCTTTTTTATCCCTAAGGGTTTATTACTCATTTGCCTCTCCCAGCACTGCTGCCTCTCCCCTCCTTCCCCAGTCTTTTGTATTCAAATCATTCTATTTGATAGACTCCTCCATGCATGTCCTTTCACAACATCTGATGAAGTAAGCTTGGGCTTATGAAAGGTTATACATCTCAGAAGTATTTATCCTAAAGGTAATATCTCTGCCCTGGCTTCAGTAACAACATTGATTACCATAAGGAGACTGTGGGATCTCCCTCCTTGGAAATTTTGAAAAACAGTCAGTAGATGACTGTTGGACTAGATGATACTAAGGCCTTTTCCATCCCTACATGGCTATGATAGTTACAGAAATGTTTAAAAAGAGCTGTGTGTGGAGGCTAAAGGCTGCAAGTGTTAGTCAGAATCAATACATTCCAGAAGATACTTTAATTCTAATAGTTGAAGCAAGAGCCTACAGAAACAACTGAGGTGCATTATTTTTCCAGCAGAGTTAATGGTGACTACCTGGGAGTGAGCTCATATTGTACTTTTTATTTATTTGTCTCTCTCACAGAATAGATTTGGGAAAAGGAGATAAACAAGTTTACTTGGGGTAAAACACCTGGCTACAAAAAAAAAAAAAAAAGTTGTTTTTTTTTCTTTTTTCCCTCTAAGTCTGTTCATTTTAGCAATAAATGCAGCTGTCACTCTGAGAAGTTTATTGCAGCCGAGTTAGTGTCAGAACTTGAAATGATAGGATTAACCATCTCAATGTTGATATGAAAGTTGCAGCTCTCCCTCTTATGTACTTAATATGGATTTGTCCAGTTCAGATCTAGATAGGCCCTTATACAAGTACCACTGTTTTTCCAAAGAAAAGTGCAATTATTTGCTCATGGTGTCTACAATACTCTGTGCCCCTGTAAGCAACTCCTACTAGACAAGCAAGAATTCTTTTTTTGAAAACTAGGCCTACAGATTGCATGCAGCTGGTCTCTCTGTCCTTAAGCTAACAGTACAAGTCACTTCTACAGAGAAGGCTCCCCTTGGGGAAGAGCCTCAAAAATTCCTATCAAAGCCTACTTACATCTACAAATCTTATTTTGGTGTGGGTCATCTTGAGCATTTCATACAAAAATAATGGGGAAACTCAGAAGCATCCAAAGCACTGTAGGCTCCAGCAAAGACATTGAAATCTGCCTCAGCCCCCCTCACCACTGATGGCCACAGCAGTGGGTTCCCCTTGCAAAGAAGCAGGCTTGTTTACATGACTGCATTGAAAAAGAGATTTTTGCATCTTCTGCTTTCAGGGACAAGATAGGCAATGATCTGATGGTCTTATTTTGATATTTTTCAGTCCTCTGTTACAGTCCCGCTGAAAAACTAATGGAAAAGCTCCAGTAAAAAAAAAAAAAAAGACTTGTCTAGACATAGCAGGGCAACAATGGCTGGGGGGGATTTTGTACTGATGTACATTTTTCAATCCTTCCTAGCCCCATTTCTGTATGTAGCACCCATTGCTGAGACATGGAAGCATTCTTGACTAAATCAGAGAAGTTCAAGAAAGCAGTCTCCAGCAACTGAGAAGTCTAGGAACAGGAGGATTTGACTGGCTTGTTGGCAGAGTGTGCAATCAAAGCATATATGGCTGGGGGGGATTTTGTACTGATGTACATTTTTCAATCCTTCCTAGCCCCATTTCTGTATGTAGCACCCATTGCTGAGACATGGAAGCATTCTTGACTAAATCAGAGAAGTTCAAGAAAGCAGTCTCCAGCAACTGAGAAGTCTAGGAACAGGAGGATTTGACTGGCTTGTTGGCAGAGTGTGCAATCAAAGCATATATAAAGCAGGATTTATCTCCTGGAGATTAGCCTGCTGTTGGGAGCCTAGCTGCACTGGGGTTTGAGATACTAAGTGAAAAGATAATCACATCCTCAGAGACAACCCAGTTCAGCTGTAAAATTTGTGCTCCCTTCACCTGCCCAAGCAGTCTGCACTACCGGTACCCCAGCCCCACCTCACTGCATCAGCCTGCTCACAACCCAGCCCCAGCAGGAGGATGCTCTGAAGAAAAGTCTGGTGGATGCAGAAGCAGCCTTGATTCTCTCTTTAGAGCCGACAGGCAGGGTTGGAGACTTCAAGTGGTATGTAACAGCTGGAGATCCCCACTGCTGCTGTTTGGCAGTGACTGGTTCAGAGAGGACACCCTCAGCTTCCCCCAGATCACAAACAAGGAGGGTGGTTACCTCGGAATTGGTCTCAGATTCTGACTCCGTACTGGACTCCACGGTGCAATTTTGCTTTAGGGGTGGTGGGGAACAAATATACAGTTATTTGTAACAATGAAATAACAGGGTGCGTTTGGATATAACTATAGCTTTGACCAATTCTCTAATACAGCTTCAGAAGTTTGCTGATGCAGCTTCTTTCTAAATTCCTATAACTCAAGACTAACCTGTATTATAAAACTCACATATTGAGGGGAAAAACGACTTCCTGATAGCCCAAGGCCAAGAAAAAATGTTTTAATTAAGGGAAGGAAGTGGATCAGAATTGTGCTTGTAATAGAAACAGCACCATCAGTCTCCTTAATGCCTACAGTTATTTCAGTTTCATCCAGACTTGCATGACATATCAGTGGTTGTTATGGAAATGTAGCCACAGATAAATACTAATAGCTAAAGCTAGGTCTCTTTTAACAGCTATTTTCCCCACTTTCCGAAAGAGAGAACATACAGAAGCCAGCTCCACTCACTAGCATTACAAAAGAAAATGATTTCTTATGTCCCAAATGAAGAGGCAGATGCAGATTCCTCCTTTCTAAGTGAATATATTTGAGTTAATTTACCAAAAAAATAAAATTGGCCACACAGTTTTCAAGATGAATTTGCTAACTCAGCTAGTCAGTCTACTAGGCTAGCGAAGGGGTTTAACCCACATTAAACGAGATGCGAGTAAGAAAGTGAGATGATTAAAAAGAAATGTTACCATGTATTTGTGTGCTAGTCTCTCAATGTAGTCCGAACATTTATCAGACTGCTTTGAATCATGGGTATTTACTACAGAAAACAAAGTGATATTAGAAAAACAACTTGACAGACAATAGTCAACATAGGAACACTTTTAATACTAGCAACATGTTTCTCTATCATATTTACTGTATTTAGATTCAGAGTTTTAACAGATTGACTTCCACATCTGAAGAGCTAGGAACATGCATATTTTTCATACCATCACGTCCTACCAGGACGGTGACAATTTAATACTAATTCTCTCGGTTGCAAGAATTAGCCCATCATTTTGTGCACTGCATACTTTAAGCATTGCAAGTGCTCTGAACCTTCCAGGAAAATATACTTACTCAAAAGGCTAAGGTAGGCAAGATGCATTCCCCTTCTCAGGAGGACTTTTCAATCAGGCTTAAATAAATACTTGTTTAAAATCAGTTGTAGGGTTGTGTGTACATATAGAAATGTAAAAGCAAATTCAAATTTACTATCTTCCACTTGGTAATCAATGTTTACAGGGTGCAAGCAGGAAATATTGAGGTAAGGCATCTTATTTACATACAATACACACAACTGCAGTAAACATTGCTTTGAACAAGTGCCCTCTAACAAACTGAATAAATTGCTCAGCTGTGTTCTTTCCATAGTACTGGAGATTTGCCTTCAAAGGGAAGGGCTACAATAGTAGTTACCTCTTCCCACTGCTCTTTAAAGCTCTGCTTTTCAGGAGCACCCTTCCATCCCCTCCCACTGCTCGTACCTGCCATGGACTGGCCACCCTGGCATTGCTTCCTTCTCTGCTGCCTTTTCTCTACAAAAGCCATTCTGCTCCCAGCCAGCCTCAAGCTACTCTGCCTTTATAGACCTGACTCCCTCACAGCCCCGTTCCCTACTGCGTACACCTGTGATTCCCTCTCCCCATCACAGTTAGGTTTCCAAACACAGAGCCAGATGGTGCCTCAACCAAAATTCCTGTTCTAAACAGAACTGAAGCAAGGGAAAAAAGGCAATAGTAACTTCTGAGAGCCTGTTCTGTGCATGTGCACATGAAGACCGCACTCACCACATTTAAAAGCAGCAGCTGAAGACAGCAAGCACTTGGGAAGGGGATGTGCACAGACAATAAAAGGTATCCGAGTTCCATAGCCTTGTGCATCACTTCCAGACTGTAATGTTTTTATACAAAAGTAAGACAGTATTGCAGGAGAGCTGCACTTACCCGATAGCCAAAGGGACATCACTGCTCTACTTGGAGGTGATTCTTCTTTAGTACTGTTGTCACCCTCATCACCTTCAGGCCAATAAAAACTAAATCCCAGCTTCCCTCCTGCACTGCGGGTAGATTGCTAGGCCCTCTCCCCCTTTCTAAAGTTGTGTCTTACAGAAGCAGCTGTCAGCATCCTCACACAAAGTGGAAGGTTGACACAAAATGGCTCCTCAGCACCCCTGCTAAACCCTGCAGTTTTCTCCAGGTGCTGCAGAGGTTTCATTTTCTAGGAACTGCAAGTTTTTTGCACTAGCACAAGGAAAAGAGATTGTTTGGGGGTTGATTTTGCTACTGGTTTTGATCACTTTGCATGGGAACAAAAATTCATTTCCTGCAGAGCTAGGCCTGTGTACCTCAGTGTAGGATGAAGATACAAGTCTCTCCACATCTATTTCAGCTCCCATCTTTCCCACAGAAAAGAGCCCAGCAGCACCATTTTACCATCGTTCTCTGTCCCTTTTAAACACGGAACCTTAGTTCATCGTTCCTTCCCTCTTCCTGAGCTTGCACAGTTGTTCCCCTCCTTGATACCAGAGTCCTGTTTGCACAGTGAACAAGAAGAGGCTTCACCCTAAATGCATTATATTTGAATTAATTGAAAAACCAAGGCAAGTGAAGTCTCCACAGCAGCTGAAACCAGTAGCTTGCTCCACGATTTAAGTGGCTGCAGCTGCTGACAGCTCAGCCCCAGAAACAAATGGGAGCTTCAGAGTAAATGACTGCCATCATATTGTGGCTGTATATACAGCAGCAGTATCTGCTGCCCAGTCTGGTCACACTTCACTTTCCTGCTTTTTTCTCCACTGATCTGCAGTTTCTCTTTCCTCTTATTGCCTTTGCTTTTTTTTTTTTATCTTCCATATCAATCTCCCTTTTCCATCAGCTTCATCTCTTTTCCCTCTGCCGTCAGATAGGAAGGGACTGGAATAATAGATTTTTCTCACCCGTAGGCTCTGTGACTGCTTTTATGACTGAATGGAGAACCAGTCTACACATAACGAAGTTGAAGCTGCCAGCTGGCAGGCTGTATAACTGAATTTGGCCCAAAGCTGAGAGGTGGGGGTCTAGGGAGTGCTTAGACATGCAGCTGATGTTAATGAGCTTGTAATTATGGTAAGTAACATTTTTTTCCAGCCATCTTTCAGATGGGCAGCTTGAAGTGAAAATATGTTTCTGTCTTTACTCCAGCTGGGTACCACATCTAAAATGGGCAACTGACCTATTTCTGATGTCAGTAATTGGGTGACTGGGTCCCAGTGCTTAAGTGTTCAAATTGCTGATCCAAGAGTTATGGATGCTGAACTAGGAGGTATGTTTGAGACCAGGTAGAAGCATCACAGGACAGGGTTTGGTTCTGTTTGCATCACCAGTAGATACTAGACACAGGCAGGACTCTCTGCTGCTTCCTTCACAGTTGGAAACAAGGTCTTCCTCAGTGGTCCCATTGACCACAACAAAAAATTCCAAAAACACAGGCATAAGGTGTGATTACAAGACAAGTCTCTTGACCATACTCACATGCACCTCGGTGCCGCTCTGTGAGCAGGACAGAGGGACGGAAGGAATGCACCGGTACAAAAATGATCGCTTGAGAAGCTGAACAGAGGTTTGTTTCAGTCATAAAAATGAAACGGCCACCTCCTGCTGGCTTTCCTCTCTGTATGGAGCAGCATTTGCATCTGCCAGGCTCAATTGGCCCTGAACTCCTTTACAGCTGGGATTCACAGTCCAGCAGTTTATCCCGTAAAGAACCCCAGGCACACTCAACAGCTGAGTCCTCTTCCCATATTCTCACTAGGCCCCATCTTCTTACTTGCTGAAGTGGTCTGCCAGTGGGAAGCCACAATGAACAACTCCTTCGTGGTCTAGTTTGAACCTATTTTTCCCAGAGCAGATTCTCTTTGAATAAATCATGCATGTGCCACCACGCCCTGCTGAAAAACAAACCCTGCAAGAAGAAACGTGGGCACTTCCTACCATACACCAATTATTTGAGCTGTCTGTCTCCTGAAATGCAGGGGTCTGGGAATGCAGCTATAGAAAGCTGACTTTATCCGTGATACCACATCTTGAAGCTCTAGGAATTCTGGCTGGCATAGCTGACTCAGAGTTGTGACTGACCCTAGATTTCATATTCTTTGGAGAGAACCATGTCCTCCTGTGTCTGTACTAGGGAGACCATAGCTCTGATTTAAGTCTTTGAGAGTGGAGCAGGATGGAGCCTTGATTTACTCTGTTACTATCTTGATTATTTTCTCATAGCCAATTCAAGTTTTATTGCAGGGGTATCTGGAGTCATGGTACTGAATAAGAGCTACATACAGCACTATCCTCTGGTGGGGTGGGTCTTTAAGTCATCCTGTTCCATCCAACATTTCCTACCCTAAAACATTCCCTGAGGTGCGGTATGACCTCAGACTCCTGTGCAGCTCATCAACCATTGCGAGGAGGGGCATGCTTAGCCAGTGTGTGGGGCCAAGCAGAAGTGATCAGATAAGAATTGTACCTGGAGAAGATCCTCCAGGAAGGTGGGTGATGTGCTCTACTGCAAGGAACCAGATCAAGCTCGTGTCCCTTTAAATTCCAGATCTCAAGCACTACAGACTTTTTCTAGCCACAGTCCTCCAGGTAAAATGCAGTGTATTTTAAACAAGTCTAAAAAGGTCTAGTAACTCCAGCCATTCCTACAGCTCTTTTCTGTTGTTCCCCTTAGGCCAATTCAATCCTGTCTGTTGGACAATTAACTAACTTTTTACAGCTGATATCCTGCTCTGACCACACACAGCTGTGCTTCATTAGCTAGGAAGGGTAACCTTTTCCCCACCAGTCTCCAGACAGAACATATATGAACTCCGTTTCATGGCCAACCCCAGACAAGGAGACTAGAGCTGACAGTGTGTTAGAGGGATTAGCAATGGCATGCTCCTCAGTCCCATGGGGAGGAGCACAAATACCTGAGTCCATCTATGGACAATCCACTGAATAATATTGCTAAAGACATCCATAAAAGCTAAATACCATGATTGCTTGTGCTGTTTAGGTATTAGGAATAACTTGCCCACCTGCCATGCACACAGACAGCACCTTTTCAAAGTTGTAAAATGGGTCTATATTGCAATGAGTATTTTCACTGCCTTTGCATATGCACAATTCAAATAACTTAGTTCTCTGAATCCACACAAAGGCTCAAACCAGTACAAGTGCTGTGGGGTGAAGGTAGGTTCATCACTGGGACAGCTAAACTTTTGGTGCATCTCCGAGAGGTAAAGGGTAATTGTTAATCAAGGATTGAAGAGCTCAGCTTTTAAACATCTGGTACCAGTGGTGAAGTCCAAGTCCCTAACGGACACTAGGCTATAGGCTATTTTGACTGGGGGCACACTCTCTCCCCTGTGGAAACTGTCATTTTGTAAAAAGATTACAAAAATAATTGGGCCAGACAGTGAGAGAGAGACGGTCATATCCTAGCAGTTAAGGCACTTACCTAAAAGGTGAGAGTCCTGGGTTCAGGTCCCTGCCTCTGCAGTTGGGAACATAGGACTGGCCTCACGGCTCATCACATCCAGTCTCCTACATTCACAAGCGATCTTAACCAAAGGAACCCCTATAATCACCCCTCCAAACCCCCACCCATGTATCTGCATGACACAATACTCAAACCACCAAGAGGACCTTATTACAAGTCAGAGATAGAAGTAGAGGAAACAAAGGCAGCGCCCAGGCCCTGCCACTTTGGTGACAGTTAAGTAGTTTGTTAATATATACCCAGGAAGTACGAAGGAAAGGACATGAGGAAAGCAATAATCCCCCCAGTCTGTGCCAATCTGATGTAGGAGGTAAAAATCCTTCCTTGCCCCTAAATTTGGCAATCACTATGAACTTGAGTGGCAACCTCTGGGTATTGTAATCAGCAGCAAGAGAATCAGTGCTCACTAGTGCTTTTGCTTGGTTAATGTCCCAAAGTTCAAAGAGAGGTAATAAATCCCTCTGGAGCTAATAGCAACCATATGAGGGGAGGGAGAATCCCCTCCTATTTGCTACAGGCAGCCCCTGGAAGCCCAGGATTACCAGACACCTGCTAGAGGCCTTTGACTGCTGCATCTGACATACAGAAACCGTCCTGCAGCAAGAACCAGAATCCAGGGCTGCCGCCCCCGCCCCCGGGGGAGTACCCCGAGCTGCCAGGGCCGGCCTGGCCCCTTGTGTGTCCCAGGTCTTTAACTCTTCCCTGCACAGCTCCCCACTTCAACAGAAGGAATGGGGAGGGTCCCCCTTCTACCACCGATATAGCCAACAGCCTTGTGCTTAGAGCACTGTGCATGGAGGGAGGTGTGGGTTTGAGTTTCCTCAGACAAAAGAGAATTCAATCCGGGTCTCCCATTTCCTAGCGAGTGCTCCAACCGCTAGGCTGTTACGTATGGGGGGGGTGCCACCATCTGTGTTTTTTAAAAGGAAGAAGTGGCTGCACCTTCCTTGGGCTGGTGTCTGATCCTGTCAGCGCGGGGTAGGCGTGTTTGGGAGTCTGCCGGACCGAGCCCCTGAGGAGACCTAGGCAAAGAAACACACGTCTGAATCCCGGTCAGACAGAGGCACAAGCAGACAATGAGCCGCGGAAAGAGGCAGATTTGGATGTCACACAGGCACAGCTGAGGGCACCTGGGAACTTCAGGGCTTGTCATGGCAGGCACAGCAGCGTGTCCTGACCAGCTCGCTCCTGAGCACACCTGTGCCCATGGACCTGGGAGCAGGTGCCTGAGGCTGCGTGGGGCCATCGCTAGCAGCTGCTCTCAAGCATGCCTGAGGATCAAGTCTTGACACAGCCACAGAGGGATGTGGGTGGGCTGGGACAGACCCCTGCCCTGGGCAGACAAGCCCTTCTTTTACCCTCTGTAAAAGTGGTGGAAATGGGTCTGGGGGTCAGTACAGTCGAGGTCTTGGAACGTATCACTATTTGTTACATTGTAAAGTGGGTTTCCTTTATGCGGATTCGAGTTATGCGCCGTTTTCCAGGAACGCGTGTACAGCATAAAGCAAGGGAAACCTGTATTTCTGTCATCAGTGATTCTGAATGAAGGTGTAACATGTCAAGATTCAAAGGCAGTGGAGATGGCTGTGTTGTTTCAGTCTCCCCAGCACAGGAGTCTGTACATTCGGGTGCATACAAAGTACCATAGCTACTCGAACACATGGGGATTTTGTGGGGGATCCTCATAAAGAGGGAAACATTTGCTATCTAGGCAGTCAAATATATTGGTGTTGCAGACAGATTAGACGCCTGAGGTGACAAAGCCTGGAAGTCCCTCTATTCGTATAGTGTAATAAAAACTTCTCAGCTACAGACTTGGTATAGGAAATACTTCTGAATAAGTCACATTCAATCAATCCAAATTGTAAACACAGTGGGACAGTGACAGTATTTACAGCTGTTTGCATTAAATATTTTTTTATTATTGGTTTAGCAAGGAATATAATATATGTAGTGTAAGGCAGATTGGGTGAGTACACTGAGCACTGGCTTAGGACTTTCAACCTGGTTTCTGCTTCTGGGCCTGGGTGATCTTGGACAAGTCAGTTGCCCCTCTGCATCTCAGTTTCCCTATTTCTAAAATGGGGACAATGATCTCTTGTTGGCACAGCATTTTGAGGACTCCTGATGAAAAGTACTGTATAAGAGCTGTGGTTTCTGAGTCTTTAAACCCACAGCAGTAGGCCTAAGATAATAAATAAAAGCTTTAAATACCTATGCTCCAAATTGTCCTAAAAAACACTACTCTGTTGTCACTTACCCTCTCACATGTCATCTTATCAATACTGGACACAACTAAGTGATCTGAAGCACCTTTTTGGTGCTGTACAAGAAAAAATACCTGCTCTCCAGAATGAATTTCTGTTTCTGTGCATCAGTTCTAAGAGGCCTAGATTCGACAGATCCAAATAACTCCCCCACCCCTCCCCTCCCCCATGGAACAGTGTAAAAAAGGAAGAGAGCAAAGCTAATTAATATTTTTTGGGCGGGGGGGAAGAGGGGGGATGCAGCTTCCTCCACTGCATGCAGAACTGGCCTCAGGGCAGGACAAGCTGGGTTCTGCACCTGCTGCATAACTTTGGACAAGTTACTTTAACTCTCTAGGCCAGTGTTTTTCAACCTGTGGTCTGTGGACCCCTGGGGGTCTGCATACTATGTCTAAGGGGTCCGAGAAAGATGGCTATGATAGCTACTTCAATCAAAAGTGTGTGAATACCCACACCTACAATTCAAAGGGGTCTGCACCTCCATTTGAAATATTGTAGGGGCCCACAACTGAAAAAAAGGTTGAAAACCACTGCTTTAGGCCTCATTACCCTGTCACTAAAATGTAGTTAATGTGTATTACTTTCCTCTGCAAAGCACCATGAGCTAGACCAGGACTGTGCAACTTGTAAGCAGCCAAGGCCCTGTATGCCCCACAGACTACACCTGTAAAGATGTCCCAGGACACAAGCTTGTTTGTTATGTGGCACTGCACCACTCCCTAGGGTAGGCAAGGAAGTGGAAGCTGGAGGAGGTGAGGGGAGCCCAGAGAATCCAGCTGCTGCTGCAGATCATAGAAATCATAGAAAATTAGGGTTGGAAGGGACCTCAGGAGGTCATCTAGTGTGCAACCCCCTGCTCAAAGCAGGGCCAGCCCCAACTAGATCATCCCAGCCAAAGCTTTGTCTTAGCTGGGTTTTGAAAACCTCCAAAGATGGAGATTCTACAACCTCTCTGGGCTGCCTGTTCCAGTGTCTTCCTAAACCTCCTAGTGAGAAAATTATTCCTAATATCCAACATAAACTTCCCTTACTGCAACTTAAGACCATTGGTCCTTGTTCTGTCATCTGCAACCACTGAGAACAGTCCATCATCCTCTTTCAAACCCTCCTTCAGGTAGTTGAAGGCTGCTATTAAATCCCCCCTCAGTCTCCTCTTCCCTAAACTAAATAAGCCCAGTTCCCTCAGTGGTGAGGGGGCCCCTCACCATTTTTGATGCCTTCTGCTGGACTCTCTCCAATTTGTCCACATCCTTTCTGTTGTAGTGGGGGGGCCAAAACTGGACACAGTACTCCAGATGTGGCCTCATAAAGGGGAATAATCACTTCCCTTGACCTACTGGCAACACACCTATCAATACAGACCAGTATGCCATTAGTCATCTTGGCAACAAGGGCACGCTGCTGGCTCATATTCAGCTTATGGTCCAGTGTAACCCCCAGGTCCTTTTCTGCAGAGCTGCTGCCCAGGCAGTCAGCCCCCGCCTGTACTGATGCACTGGATTGTTCCATCTTAAGTGCAGGACTTTGCACTTGCCCTTGTTGAACCTCATGAGATTTCTTTTAGCCTAATCCTCCAAATGGTCTAAGTCACTCTGAATCCTAGCCCTACCCTCAAGAGTCTCTACTAGTCCCCCCACCTTGGTGTCATCTGCAAACTCACTGAGGGTGTGGCCAGATGTAGCAGTGTGGGGGGTGTTGGCCAGGTGGGAGCCTTGCAAGTTGCATGTGTTCCATGGGCAGCCAGCTGGACAGCCCCATATTAAGTTAAAGTAGGAGTCATTTTGCTTCTGTAAAATAAGACTAGATGAGGACTATTTTTCCCTTGTACTTTATTTCATCACAGCTATCTTAAAATCATCCATAGTTGCAGATGTGAAAGTTATTCTTGTCTGAAGTAAGATAGCCTTGGATATGATCTCAGAACCTGATGATCAGAATGACGGGATGCTGTAAAATGAAATACAACATCATGCTTCTGCTTGCTGCATTTAAAAGTTAACACTTTTAAGACACAGTATGATGGCAAGTACAGCATCTGCTGTGTTTTAAATGATGGAAAAGGGGCATAGGGTGGGAGGAGTTGCAGGTGGTGAACAAACCTGGAGACAGAGTCAATTCTGTCATCCAAGAAATGCACCAGTGGCCAATTATTCACACATAGAGGAGCAAGTTTTATTCTTAGACAATTTAGACTTTCCACTATTTTATGTTGTTTCTTTGTACCATTAGATCATACAAGTCATTCCACAGGAGAGAATCTGTGCAATCTTGTGTAGCTTTTGAGTGAAGGTTTTCCAGCTGTGACTGGAGTCCTTTGGGACCTCTGCTGGCAGAATATTTCAAAGTAGTGTCTACTGCTGTCACTGACAACTCGGTATGAAATCTTAAGGTGAAGAATATTGTGGTCTATAGTATAGAGATCAGTGTAACGGTGTGTAACTGTGATGGTCCAGGGAATATGTAAGAAACAAGATTTGCTTAGTAATGTATTTAATAGAACAAACTGAATAGTTGGATGAAATGTTAGGCAAGCTTTTGGGCACAACAGCATGTCCTACCTCACATAACTGGACAAAATTAAAAAAAAGGTATTTTTCATGCCTTAAAGTTGCCTACCTTCTCTTGCAACTGTGCAACTGATCTAATAAAATATATTACCAACCAAAACCTTCTGCTATTTGGTGCATAAAGACAAGGATGCAAAACCCTTTCCTGGGTGGCTGAAATGCCTGACTGGCTGTTGATCCAGGGTCTTTCATCTTTTATGAGACTGCAACTATCCTTACAGTAAATGAACTACCACTTTTAAATGGAAGATATTCCACACATGCACTGATTCAGACAGAAGACCAGACCATGCAGTTGCCTCAGTGTGAATGCTGAAAAGTTACTGTGCTTGCTGCAGTGTCTGTGAATTGAGGCACTCCTGTCCATCCATGTTTAGCTACTTCGATTTGCCCACATAGGTCTGACTGGCACAACAGCCCTTCTAGAACCTGAAGTGTGATTTTGGTGTTTAAAAGAGGATCTCTGAATATTGAACACAAGGGGAGAAGTTTCTTCTACTTGCACAGAGGGTACCTTTTAAAGCTGAAGCTGTTCTGACCACTAGTTCATAAAGCTGAATGTATTTGTATGCATGCTTCTGAAGAGGAAGACGTTGAAGCAACTCCTGCTTTCCCATTGGCATGCCCCAGTCCTCACCCTTGTACTGACTGGTCCATTAGTTTAAATTCTGAAACAGGATCTGGGACTTCTGTTGGGATGTACTCTCTATAACCTGCTGATGGATCTAGATCCGTCTACATCAGCAGGGTATAGGCAGTATGATGCCAAAGTATGAAGCTTCCCCTAATTTCTAGGAAGGGATGGATTCCCGTGAGGATCCAAACAGACTAAGAAATGGAATGAATGCACTGAGTCTTTGCAGAGCTTAGATCCAGACAGGATCAGCCCAGAGAGGGTCCTGGCTTGTCTGCTGCAGCAGTGGGATAGACAAGGGCTGCCAGAGAGCTGTGACCCCTTGTCTAGCCTTCCCCTCAGAAGGCTCAGGAATAGTGAGGGGGAGGAGAGCTCCAGCAGATGCTGCTAGGAAACTTCCCAGCATCCAGAGCTGCCCTGCTGCTGTGACCCGAGAATGGGAACGTGCAAAAGCCACTTACAGCAAAGTGCTTTTTTGTTTCTTTCTTTGCCAGCACAGTCTATTCACAAGGACAGTTCTTACCCCAGCAGCAGCTGAGTTGTGCTCCTCTTCCCACAGAAAAAACTTCTAGTAGACTGAGGGAGGAGATACCAGCCATGCTCCCTCCAGCCTGACAACTGGAGAGAAAGACAGCATGTGGCTGCAGGACATTAGGACATCTTCCTTTTCCTAAAGGCACCTGATGTTAGCATCAGGTCTTAGGTTGGGGCCATGTATTAAAGATTCATACTGGTTCTACATGCTGAATTACCTAAAAGTTAATACTTTTGGTTAGAAGTGGGCTCCATGCAAAATAAAGGGCTTTAACATTACTGCATAAGCACACATTCCCCACAAGTTAGCTACACCCAATAAAGTTTCATCCTGTATTACTGACAGCATAAGGTGAATAGCAGGGATATTACAGAAGTTCTATATTATAATTAGTCTATTCATACCTCAGTTTAGGACATATGCAGTTTAGTCCTTAGTTTTTCACCAACCCAGTCTAGAATTGGGAGCACCTGTTTGCTCTGGATTATCGATTCCTCTTGCATGCTACCATCATGGTCCAGGAGCAGAGGTTGTAGTGCAGCTGTGCCAAGACTGTCCAAGAAACCTCCTGATTTTGAAGGATCAATATCCATGAATAAGGAATAGTCAGGTGTGTGAGACATTGCTTCCATGATTACTCCAGATTTTCTGGACAATTCAAATGGTCTTGTGAGTCTTGTTGGAAAAGCCATCTTCTCTTTACTGTTTTTCTCCATTGGTATTTTAGAATCATTAATGGGTTCCATATAAATATCATCCTGGGTTTCTGTTGCTGTAAGGACTGAGTTTGAAGATGTATGGGGGAACTCTTGATCTTCTGAAAGGGAAATGTCTGCCCAAGCTACTGCCTCTGGTGTTTTGAATGCCTGTAAAAACTGAATTCTTCTACGATTTCTGTTGTTACTGAAGTTCAAACTGTAATCTGAGCGAGTTGTCATGTCTTCTGGATAACCAGAATAAGTGTCTAAAAACTACAACAGTAAAATAGCTTTAAATAAATAATAAACACACAGTGAATCTCTCAGTCAACATTCGAACAAAAGACAAGGTTTTGAGATTCATGCAAACTTCTCTATTATCATATCACCTCTGCTGCTATTTGCTATCAGTGCTCACAGAGGGCTTTGACAGACATTTAGTTGCTCCAGGGAGAGTCCCTGCTCTCTCTGGAGAAGTCACAAGTGTACAGAAGTTCATAACTTTTCTCCCAGAGTAAAAGTGGCCACTTGGGGAGAAAAATAACTTGGGAACAGTCCGAGTGAAGTATTTCCCCAGATAAAAACACTCAGGAGACAGAACTTCTGTACAGGCAGCAGAGACAGACTCTACCTCTGCAATCCCAGTATGCTCTGCTTCTGTTCTCTCTCTTCCCCTGCAGTGGAAGGGAGAGCCTGTGTCAGTCTCAGTCAAGAGCAAAACACTCCTGAGTGCTTCAGGCTGGAAAAGCCCAGCACTGAAGCATTTTAGGGGGCATGTTCTGCTCCTGGCTTATTCCCTGACACACACTGCAGAATTTGGGTGCAGGGAAGCATACAAGCATATGCCCTGCCCAGCCATAGCTGGGCTCCAGCACAGCACAGGGAACAGGAAAGGCTGGAGGACTCTTCTGTGCATGGGACAGACACTGCGCTTACCTTCCCTGACAATCCCTTCCTGGCTAGGGACAAAAGTTACACATAAACAAGTTTAAGTGATCAGAAACTGGTTTAAGCCTGTAACAGAACATCAGTTCAGTTCATGTAAACCAGTTTCAAAATGTCCAAAACTGGTTTAAGATAAACCTGGTTGAATGTAGGATCATAAATGACTTGGGTCAAACCAGTTTATGGAACTTCTGTCTCAGACCCCTTCCTGGTTTAAGTTAAATCAGAGTCCCCCAGCATCCCAGCATGCTTTTCCGCCCTAGGCTGGGCTGTGCTGTCTGCTCCAGAGAGCAAGGCTGGCCCTGCCCCTCTGCTCTATAGCCAGAGCAGAGGTGGGGGAGTGGCCAGATGCCACCTGGCATGGCCCCCTAAACTGGCATGATGCAGGTTTATTCCCCCTCCCTCCCCTCTTGCCCTGAGAGACCACAGATGGGGTCTGCATGACCAGGGCAGAGCAGCACCTGGTAGGGTCCATCTTTCCCCCACCCCTGACTGCCCCAGTGGGCATGGCCAGAGGTGGGCATGGAGGGGCCTGCCCAGGTTGGGACACAGGGGCAGGGCCCTTCCCAGCCAATTGCAGCTTGGGCTGGGGCCACAGGAACTGTACGCCCAGATTGCTCCCAGCTCCCTGCGTCCAGGCCAGGCTGGACTGTCATGGAGCCACAGCCAGCAGGCACTGTGCAGGGGGCGCAGCGGTGAACACACGAGCCCCCACAGTGGGTGGCTGCCAGGCCCCAGGCCCACTGGTGACTCCAAGCTGGCCCAGGCAGCCACAGGCACAGTGGACTCACCCTGTGCAGCCAGTCCAGCTGCCAAGGTGGCCACCCACAGCTGCAGTGGCATCTCCTCCATGCCATTGTCTGGCCAGCCACTGCCCGCACATGCTGAGCTAAGCTGACACAGAGCCGCATCCAGCTGGAAAGGACCCTGCCCCCACAGCCTGGCCTGAGCCAGCCCCGTTATCCGCCCACCAGGGCTGGCTGTGGGCACTGCTGAGGGCGGGCATGGAGAGGCTGACCTGAGCCAGACCGGGTTGCAGGGACAGGGCCCTTCCCACCTGGCTGCAGCTCCGTGACAGCCCGGCCTGGCCTGGCCTGGGCATGGAAAGCCAGGAGCAATCTGGCCATGCAGCCCCCGCGACCCCAGCCTAAGCCACAGCCAGCTAGGAAGGGCCCTGCCCTGGTGGCCCAGCCCGAGCCAGTCCCTCCACACCCACCCTCAGCAGTGCCTGCGGGCCAGCCCGGCTCAGCCCCCCAGCCCAAGCCCTGGGTAAGGCAGGTGGATGGAGGGGCCATGCCAGCTGGCTCTGGCCACGCCCCCCACTTGGGGACAAGTGTGGCAAGGGCTGCTTCCCCCTTTCCCTCCAAGCACATCCCGGCTGGGGTACCTGCAGCACCTCCCAAATCATAGCACCTTACCAGGGCCTGGCCATTTCCCGCCCCACACACACACACACGCGCCGGGTCAGTTTGCCTACAGCCTTGCAGCTTGCTGTCAAAGGGAAAGGACGGTAGCTTGCTCTAGTGCCCCCCAGCTTCTAGCCTGAGTCACTGTAGGCATGCGGATATATTTCTGGAATCAAGAGTGAGTGTCTGTTCACTTGCAAATCGGTTCAATCTAATTAGGTTAGACTAACCTGCAAAGATTGAATCAATTTAGGCTCAGGCTTTTTCAAAGCCTGCAACACTCTCCTGGCCGCATGCTCTAGGGACCCCTGGCAGCCTAGCATCTGCACTGCCCAGGTCATTTTTTCCCTCAGAAGAATAAACCTGGGAGACTTGATCTGAATAATTGGAATGTATATACACAGACAGAGGCGAAGCCAGAGGCAAAGCCAAGAACATGACTATCCCCAGTGATATTTTTCAGGAAAGTGCTGTCATTGTAGCAGTTTCAATACCAAGATACACAAACATCTAATTGTAATGTAGTATTTTTAGTATAACTAGCACATTGCAATGAGAGAATTTGTAAGCAGCCTTCTAAACACTTCCTTAGAGACAGTCAGTGAGTGCCTAGAGTTAAAAATGAATACGGGTGGGTTTTCTTTTATTTCAGAAGTTTCTTTTAACCTTTTCCAAAATGATGATTAAAGATAAAAGAAATGTGTATGAAATATCTTCATAATGTGAAAAGGCAACATGGTAAGAAAACTGAAATCTGTTTAAAGGCTTTTTATAAATGATGGTAAAAACAACAAAATTCAAGTCACAAAATGTAGCTGGGCACTTGTAGAGTATTTACATGTTCATCTCAGAATTTGTTTTGTTCTGTTGAACAAATACAGCTGATTTTAGAATAGAATTTGGTGCAGTGGAAATAGTCTTCAGAGCAGGACATCTGTAAGATAGAGTGAACCTTCACTCTTTTCAATCAACCCCCCAACCCTGGTTCCCTTTTACCCACCACCAAATCAAGAAACTATCATTTTGGTACCTTATTACGAAATAGCACATTTCTCCGCCTCGTCTTCAAACCACCGCTGGTGCTGAGAACACAAAATGGTTCTTTGATGCAGTTATGTCTGTACCACTTTTGATCAGGCATGGTTCATGAGGGAGGAGATCTTCACTGGGATTGTTATATGTAAGATAAATAAATAAATAAATGTTTTAAAGTTAAACATAAAGCTTAAACTGGTTTTATAATATAAACACAGTTAATATTCTTTGTCTGAGAATTGGGTTCATAGTCCCATGTCTCCTAAATCATCCATAAACAGTTGAGCAAGGCTATGCATTACACATTGCCATGTCATTCACTATAAAAAAATTAACCCCTCATAACAGTAGCCTTTAAAGTCAGTAGATAAAGCTGATGCCTTCTTTAAACCAGAACTATATAATGTGACTAAAACCAAAAGGTGCAAAATCAACTTTTTACTAGCAAAACTATTATATGTTTGAGCAAAGAGATATCTTAAATACCTTTTCCCCAACATGATGTGTCTAGATCAAAGCTAAAGCAATAGTTACCTTTCAATATAAGAGTTGGGGTTTTTTTTTTGTTTTCACTTCTCTTTGAAATAAGGCTGCTAATAACGAAAAAGTAAAAACATACAAACCTAAATTAAATTTCATGTCACTTGCTTTCTCTACGGGTCCTTCTGCAGTAGGCAAATCCTGATTTAAGAAAATATTTCTATCAGAAAGGTATACAAGAACATTTGTAATGGCATATTTGTCACAAAGTTTATGTAAATGTTTCTACGTGAAGATCAAAGATCTCCAAATGCAAATCAGAGCCAGCATAACAGAATATGTTTCAGGATACAGTGAAAGCGCTCTGAAGAGTGTTTCATGAGTCTTGCCACGTGCTAAAGCAACCCATGTTCTTTTTTTTTTTTCATTTAGTATTTCTAGTACAGTCTATCGCTACAGAACATATATAGTTATTGTAATTAACTTTGCCATTTTTAAACATGTTACTATTGTTTCATTGCCCATATTTTTGGAAAAAGGAAGCAGAAAGAGAAGAAGCAAGCAGACAAACAACATTCTGCTATGCCTGAGGAAGGGTGAGTCCACCTGAAAGCTTGCAAATAAAGATTTTTTTTTGCAAATATCTAGTTGGTCTAATAAAAGATATCACCTCTGCCACGAGTTGATTCCTTTTGCCTGTAGACCAATATGGCTACAACCTGTATCCCTGAAACATGGTAGATATCAAATTTTAGCTGCTTTTTAAATGAAAACTTCATAATTTTACAAGAAAGAAGCAAATTCACCACCTTGGAACCTGAAAGCTGACACCCAGGCCATTGCCTATTGTTCCAGCTAAATCTGCATGTTCATAGAGCTCAAAGTGCCACAACACAAGAGAATTTCCTACCCAGGAGAGCATCCATCAAACCATCCTCCTGTGAAATATGAAAAAAACATAACCAGAAGAAAACATAATTTAACATCCGGCTTGACACCAGACAACATCGAGGTAAATAGACTGTTCTAACTTTTACCTGAGCCTAAACTGCATGAAATTAAGTATTCCAACAAGGAGCTCTTACAACACCTTCAGCTCTCCTATGAAGTATGCATTTTACAATCTTTGCATTCTCCTATGCCTGAGGAAGGATGAGTGTATCCAAAAGCTTGCAAATAAAGAATTTTTTTTGCAAATACCTAGTTGGTCTAATAAAAGATACCACCTCTGCCACGAGTTCTGATTCTAAAATGTCTTAAAGGCATTTCAGATTAATCTAGCTGACGATGTTAAGCTATAAAATACAAAAAGAACTGACAAAAGATAGGAAGAAAAGCTGGAAACTCTCTCCCAGGTAAATAATTAAGTTTATGAATATATATTTCCTGCACTTTTATCTGCACTATTTGTATGAACAATCACTTGAAAGCTGAAGGCAGAGCAGAGTTGTACCTTCAGAGAAGCCTGAGTTTTCATAAACAGCTCACTTCATCAGATGCTTACAAGCTTAGGCCTCTCTGAAGGAGCTAGTCTGTAAGGTGCAACTCTGCCTTGCCCTTTGCCTGACTTCAGACTAACACTACTAACTACCACCTTCAGCTTTTGTAAGTTGAAGAACAGCTTATAGCTGCCTCAGTCTCTAGCACATATTTTAGTTATGACTCTGCCAGACCCAAATGTAAATACGTGTAAAATTCTTTCCCAAAGGAAGAATCTCAGGGCCTGGATTCTTTTAAATTTGTTAAATTAGTGTCATTTAAATTAGTTTTGTGCACAAAAATGAGTTGCAGCATTGTCTGGAACAGACAGAAGAGGAGGTCTCTAAGGGGGTTATACACACCAGTAGGCACTAATATAGTATCTTACCGCCGGGTGGGAGGGAAGCCAGTAATGGCATGTTGGCACTGAGCAAGCAACACCTCTGTGATGGATAGAAGCAGACACACCACAACTTCATCAGGGCTGTTCAACTTCTAAGCAGCCAGGGCTGCATGCCCTGCGGGCTGCACAAGTGAGGACCACGGGCCCAGGGATTGCCTGCCCACCCCTGCTATGCCACATGCCTAGGCTGCCCCCAACTCCCGGCTGCACCGCATGCCCGGGCACCCTGCCTCATCCCTGGCACTGGAGGCTGCACTGTGCTGTCCTGCCCTGACCCCTGAGGTGGGAGCAGGAAAGGGAAGCCAGAGGGAGGCCCCAGCTACTGCTGCTGAAGAAATGGGGGAACTGCAGTGGCGCAGTAGATAGCCCTGACCTCACTAGCGTAACTAGGGCAGGGTAAGCGGGATATCTCTTTCGAGTGCTGACTATCAGGGGTGCCAGAACCAGGAGAAAGAAAGCACAATTCCACTTGCCACACTCCCCTCCTGCCCTGGATAGCCTGCTTGGTGTGGCACCAGAGCTACCCCCACCACAGCAAAGGCTCCTGGCAGGGGGCATTCTAGTGATGCTCCCGATTTCCCGTCCCCCCCACCCCAGACCCTTTGCAGCAGAGAAGGGAGCCCCTCACTGCCACCATCTGGCCACAGGAGCTGAGCAAGGCAGCACCACACTGAATAGTGTATGTGGGATGGAGTTCGCGGAGTAGGACGAATGGAATGGCATTCCCCCATCCCCGGGGACCCCCTCCTCACACCCCGGGCACTCGGTTTGCTCACTACACCTCTGCCTTGACCTATGTGAGAGCAGCGCAAAACATGTGCTGAGAAGCAGATATGATGATCACTCCTCCATGGCTCACCAGCCCTCCTTTCAGAGCAGAGCTCTTGTGCTAGAATCAGCAGCCTATGCAACTGATGCTGTTAATATGCTTGCAGGTCTGACTTCCTAGGAGGATGCTCTGAAGGGAAGAGGATGGGGCATGTAAAGAGCACTTTTCAGCCTCTACCAGAGCATCTGAAAAGGCGAAGAAAGGAGGGCATGCCTCCATATGCTGTCAAATTGTGAGAGAGAATTTTCCTGCCCTAGTTTCCTATAATAGCTGGTCCAGCCGGGGTTCGAACAGGGAGGAACATTACAGCAGCATTGCTGATAGAGCCGAACCCAATAGTGGACTCTCCTGTGCATTTTTTTTAAAGAGAAAAAGGAGAGAGACACTTGTAAGGGGAAACACCACAAGGCTCATTTTGAGGCTCCAGCCTTATTTTTCTATTATTCTAACTGCCTGTTTTTCTCTGCCCCCAAACAGCAGAAAGAAAAAAAAGTCTTTTCTGACCTAAAATTGTTCAAGTGAAAAGGAGATTACTGAAGCGTAAGGGAGTGAGGGATGTGCCCAGTGAGGAAGGAGGCTTTTTATTTTAACTATTGGGTCATTGCTACATATCATAATACACATTTCAGTACAGGAGTGGAGAAAAGAGAGTTTTCACATTTTCATACATTTTTTCACAGAAACAAACCTGATTCCTGTTCAGCCCTTTGAAGTCTGTCATTTCAAATCCATGTTCAGAAGTATAAGTTGTGAGGCAGCGCTGTTGTAAAACCACTTCAGTAAAAAGCTAAATGGCTTCACACATACCATGTTACACATCAGTTGCATAGGCTTTTGATTCTAGTGTAAAACCACAGCAGTAAAAGCTAAATAGCTTCACCCAGCCCCCCATGTTACACAAAAGATTTTTCTGACTAGAAAGACGATATAAACTAGAAACTGATTTCTTCCTTTCATGTCATTCTTCAAGGGAATCCAGTGTCATGAAGGTGAAAACTTAAGTACTCAGTTCGTACAAAGAAAACTAGAGATGGCTGTTTGCAGTCAACATTTTCCAACTCTCTGTGTAAACTTTATCCCAGAATTCTGGAGGATAAATTCTGGCAGCACCTTACATGTACAAACGTATGAGATGGTCTGTAGTTTTTAAAGAATTTATCATACATTTTGTATGAGTCTTTCCACAAAGTCTGGACTTTAATGACTGAATCAGATCACAAAAGTCTAATAAACAGGAAGGAAAGAGAGTTGTGTTAGAGAAGCCTTTCTAAAAAATAAAACTACAAGTTGTAAATCCTGTAAGCCCAACACCATCTGTTCATACCCCACTTATTGTAATTTTAATTTTTTTTTAAGATTTGCCTTTGCAGGCAAAAAACAAGGAACATTCAAAATCTCTTCAAAATCTCTTCTGGTTTTGTGTTCAAGAAACAGGATGGATCTCTATAACCCCTTGTCTACTGATACCTATGCCATGCTTCTCTTTCCGAGCCTAAAATAGTCCCACGCAACCTCCACCTTAGAGCGCTCACTATTCATGACCTCCAAGTGTTGACACTGCAGCCCAGATAGAATTGGATGGCAAATGATATTCCTGTCCCACAAACACATAAAAAATTCTTTGCCACTAATAAATTAGAGGCCTTTCCAAAGCTTTCATGGAAAAACTGAGGAAGAGAAACCCATGCCAGAATAGGAAATAGCCCATGGTTAAGGTAAGCCCTGGGATGTAGAAGATGCAGGGACTTGAGCATCCAGCATCCCAGAGGCATAACCTGACCACAGCCCTATAACTACAGAGTGAATTTCTATTGCTCTAGTTTTGACCAAAAATTATCTTCCAAACAGAAGTTTAATCAAAACCAGTCTGTGTTTGCCAAGCACTTTGGTTTTCAGGCTTCAGCGTTTTCTGACAGAACTCTGTCTTCACAAAAAACTCCTCCTCAGTTCAAATCCCAGCCCTATCCAAGTCTTGCCTTCATCAAGATTATAGCATCTGTAATGCCACTGCCCACTCTACCTGCACCCTGGCACTTGTATCCTCTCCAAAATAGCCTCAAAGATCTGATTTATTGGAACAGATGCTCTACCTGCTTTTCTGCTGCACTCCATAGCCCTTTCTCTCTCTCCAACTGCCTTTTCCTCACTTGTCTTCCCAGTTTTCAGAAGACCATTTACCACTCAGGCATAGTTCAGGATTACATGAGATGATAACAGTTTCTGGATGCTCTGAAGCCCTAGTTTTGGTGGAATTTTGTCTGGCAAATTACAGTTTTTACAAGACAGATGATAGTAACTATGTTATAGAAGCTTAGTATAAGAAAACTGTATGAATGCACACACTCAACTGGTTTCAGTGAAGGAATGCCTTAGCTAGTGAGAGAATTTGAAGAAATTCGCTAAAATATAGACTGCAATAAATCAGCCATTCAAATACCTTTATTATAAACATGTTAGCCTCACCAAATAAGGAAATATTTACTTGTATAAACCTACCTCTCAATCAAAATTTCCATCCTCATTTGCAAAGTTGTTAGCTAGTATGTTCATATACAGGATATTTTAAATGTAAAATCCCATCTTGGAGAACAAAACTGATGGTTATCTGTTCTGATGTCATATTCATTACTATGGAAACAAAATGTAATGTTGCAGGTTGCACTGTGATATCATTGTGTAGACAAGTATGATATCCTAACTCTGAAGAAATAAATGGCTTTTCAAATATTCAACCACAAAGCATCCTAGGAAGTATCAGCAGTCTAGGTTAAATCACATAAAGGCACATGAGGCTATTCAAATATGAGCCTAAAATTCTATATTAGTAATTCAAAATAATGAAATTAAATCTTTTGGATAGGCATATCTGTACATGTGGACATCAGATTTAAAATCAGAAATTGCTAAGTAAACATTTTATCATCA